GGTTGATTATGGTCTGATTTATTTTGGACTATTCTTCAGTTGTGAGTCTTCACAAGATTTTAAGAAGTCTTACACTTCAAATGTTATGAGGGCATTTCTTTATAAATATCTTCGCAACTATTATTTTTGTTTCTTCTTAATTTTTGTCTATTTATAGTCTCACACATCTTAGTTTGCTTTTATAATCAAGAGTGACCAACAAAGAGAATTTTAAATGTTATGAAAAATTTTTCTTAGGTCTGATTTATTTTGGACTAGGGCACCCAGAATCCTAAAGTATAATCCTAACTTTTGAAGTGTAAGACTTCTTAAAATCTTGTGTCATGATCCCTTGTTATTCCATGTAGTATCATTTGATCTCCTTGGTTAAACACACTCTCACAACACACTCACTCGCTCACTCTAACACAAGACACTCCAAGCCTCTCTCTCTCTCACACACACACACTCTCTCCTCTCCAAGATAAGTCTTCACATTCTTTATTAAACTCCTTCCCCAAATGTTTCCTCTACAAAATTTAAGCCTTCTTAATCCTTCTAACTCCCACTCTTATCTATAGTTTGATGATGCAAAATGAATAACTAATTTGGTCAAATCATCATGAATGAGATGCTCAGGGTTCAACATTGCATCTTTAGGTTAGCACTGTGATGCTTTTGTATTAGTTTTGTGATGTTAAGCTCTATATCCTCCAATATATTACTTTATCATTAATGGCACTATGATGCTTTAGATAGAGCTACATCACTCTTCCTTAATTTTGCAGTGTTTTTAGCTGGCATTTCTACACCTTGCTCTTGAATGAAGTGTTGGGAAAGTTTCCAACATGTTATTTATGTACTATCCTTCAATTTTTTAAATCATTCATGAATGATTACTTGAGAGTTTTCTTATACAAAAATACATAAAAAAGTGTAATAATTAAAGAAAATATGGAATTAAGATTAATTTAGACATATATTCTTATGATTTTTTCTCATTCAATAATAAATGTGAATAAAAAAGAAGAGCGAGAAAGAGAGAGACGGAACCTTTATGGAGAGAAAAAAAAATAATGGAAAGAAACACTTCAATTCATCATCAATCATTATATAAAACTTATAATTAGAAGTATAACTAACAATCCATTAAATAAACATAACAATGAAATTCAATTCCTTAAGTTTTTGATAAGGAAGCATCTCTCTATTTTCTTCAAAAGCTTCTATGATGTAAATTTTAGAATTGAAAGCTTTGGATGAAAAAATATAACTAAATTTATATAAAATATCATTGGCTAAGATAATATTATTTGATATATGTGTACTATATATAAAAGTAATATGAGTTGGATGAATAAATTTGAGAAAATTAGTTTAAGTCTGCTCCCAATAAGATTAGCAATCACCTTATTTAAGGCATTAAAAAGGATATTTGTCTTATATCATTTAAATTTTGAGTATGATTACTTTTAAGTATCAAAATAATAATATAATGTTTAAATCTTATGGAATGCTTGGAATTGAAAAATATATAGCAATACTTTGATAAAGGAATAATACACTAAAATTTTTAAAGAATTTAGAGATGAAGTCATATTGATCAGGAGTTTATTATTACGACTCTTAATAAAAAAAAAAGATATTTTAATATTCTCTTAGAGAAACTGACTATAAGAAGATTATTATCATTAGTTAGAAGGAAAATAAGATAGTTTACTCTAGTCAGTTTTAGGTTTGCTAAAATAGGAATGTAATGCAAAAGGAATATATTGCATTACATTTTTAAGTTTGATTTGAAGAAAAATAAAACCAGTGTAATATAAGCATGACAATAATGACTACCATACGATATTAAGTAGTGGTGACAGACAGTCAAAAGACGGTGAATGATATTGATAGACATGACCGATAGTGCTTGAGGGCTATAAAGGCTAATGATTGTAATGGAGCGTGGCAGGTGGCGACTGGTTGATGACACTAAGTGACAAGATGTAGCAGTAGCATCAAGTGGTGGGCACCAATCTCACATTGCATTATAGCTCAAATTCACCCAAATCCAACAAAATTTGAATACATTAGAAATTAACTAAACACTACATTTTATATGTATTGATATCCTACACTACATTCCTTTTTCCTCAAATCAATCACTCACATATTCTAAACCCATGAATTTGGAACGTAATATTCCCTTTTAGTTCAAACCAAACACCCCCTTAATAAGCTTAAGATTTATTCTATTTTTAATTATCTAAAGCTAGGACGTGAGAGCATCTTCATCTTTAAAAAGATAGTAGGATTTAACATGTTGTTTAATCCATTTATTCTCACATATAATTCTTTGATTTGGGCTTTTTTCATTAAAGAGAGCTTCTTTAAGCATACAGGTGATTGGATGCTCTTTCAACTCATTCTAAATTATGGATACTAGCTTGGCCTCTTAAGAGAAGCTTTGACATTAGATAGTTTATTGCAACATGCATAATTATGATCCACTTTCACAAGATATTTTAAGTTTAAGAAATAATAACAAGAAAATTTGAGTAGTTAATCTTTGTAAATGAATCTCTTTTTAAGCATGAGATTTATTCCAATAGTAACTTGGATTGGTGAATGATCAAAGTAAAGAGGCACCAAAACCTTATAATAAGTTGATGGAAAGTGCTCCATTAAATGATTGTTGCAAAAGACTCGAACAAGAAAATATCTTATGGGTCTATCCAATTGTTTTTTAAACAAGGATAAACTTATTTATGGAAGCTCAAATTGTCCAAACTCATATATGCATTTATTAAACTCTACAAGTTTATAAGGGATAAGGGATTGCGACTAAACTTTATTCGGAGATATGATGTAATTAAGATCCCCCAAAATAGCCCAAAGTTCATAAATGAAAGTTAAAATAGCAATTAGAGAATGCCACATTACTTTCCTCCGAGAAACCTCATAGTCAACTTAGAGATAAATGTCACCAAAAATTTAACAATAGAAAAGCACAAAATGCCATGGATTTATTGAGGATTAGAGCTAATATTCAAGAAGGAGAATTTAGATGAATCCCATTGACATAAATTTTGTTATCAAAAGATAGACAAAAATTATCACTGCCATCTTCTATATGAAAGATCTTAAGAGTTCTACATGAAACAACATCATAGAGTGTCATTGGACTTTAGTCTCAAGGAAAGAAAGAATATCAATTAAATAATATTTAACAAAATATTACAAGCAGGGCTTATTGCATAACCATAAAAGCCCCTTATATTATATGTCATGATATTTGGATAAAACATAATGTTGAACATTAGGAGGCCCTTCATTTTTTTTGTCTCATCTTCATCTCTTAGAAGTAAAAGACATTAAAATATGAATAGAATTTTAAAAAAATAACAAAAGCTGTGTCATTGAACTCTCCACAAGTAACCAAAGTAGAAATACTATTAGAGAAATATTCTTGTTATAAATTGATCACCCAAACAAACGAAAGAGCCCTTTACTAATGATGGAGAGGAAGGTGAAGAAGATTCATTATTAGTAGAAGACAATGAATGAGGGCTATTAAGGTCTAGGACTATGCTTAATAATTGGGGTGTAGAAAGAAATAGCTTTCGGGTTACTCAAGGCCTTATCAAATATTCCTCTACTCCAACTACGGTTCTGCCCCTACATGATGTAACATACAATATGGGCAAGTAGAAAGTATCATTTTCTTAGATAATTAGCTTTCTTATGGGCAAAAGTCTCATTTCCATTCATAAATCATGACCAGAATAATACGTTTAATTATTATGAAATTTTTTTTTCTACTCTGGGAGAATATATTTAGTATCAATTTGAATACTAAAGTGTTCTTATGGGCAAAAGTCTCATTTCCATTCATAAATCATGACTAGAATAATCAGTTTAATTATTATGAAATTTTTTTTCTACTCTGGGAGAATATATTTAGTATCAATTTGAATACTAAAGTGTTAATATGTGAGTCTAGATTGGGTGGTTGGGAAGATATCAACAAGTGGTTGTCTTTTTTTAGTTATTTTAAAAATTTGAACCTTTGCCTAGTACTATAAAGGGAGCCTTGACAGTCTATCATTAATAAACTAAATATCTCTGACAACCCTTAGGATAACCTTAGGATACGTAAATTTAAATAAGAAGAAACATAACAAGAGTTGTGGTTAAAAAGTATATTTGAGTTTCCAATGTTTATGAACAGCTTGAAACAAGTTATCATAGAAAGGATGTCGTCCAATTGTGTAGATAACCACAGCAAAATTCCATTATATTGCACCTTCAAAAACATTTTTATCCCAAAAGAGACATTTTCATCCATATAGAGGATGTAATTCAAAGCGAGAGATGATAATTTCAATACACTAGCAATCAAAAGTCCCTTATAGTTCATTGTAATAGGATGCTAACATGTTGTAGATGGCAGAGTCAAGAATAGCGGATGATGATGAAGATGTGGGGAATTTTGACAGCATCAATGTATCCACGGTCCAAAAATAAAGGGCCAGCAGGATGCTCCGATAAAGAAGGAGAACCATAAAAGAGTTTAACAAAGAAAGATAATAAACCAGAGAAGTGAAAAAAAAAAAATCTGAACACTAAATCACTCAAAAAATTTTGTCAAGTCTCTTGGAATCCCATATTTTATAAATTTTTTAATTATTTGAAGTTGTTCAATTCAAACATATGAAATCATTCATTCATTTTAAGTTAAAACAAGTTGTATAAACAATTATAATTTTAATAATGAGCATTTAATTCTACCTAAAAAAAAGGGCATTTACATATGTAGCATTCAATTCTTGTCAATTTACATATCTCAAATCAAAACTTTCATTTTTATATGCACAACACTCAAATTTTTCATATTATAACAAAATTGTAATATTTATATTTTTTAATAGTCAAATACATCTTCTCATATATAGATGTAAATATGACATAGTTAAAAAATTGAGTGCAAATTATGTAAATTTCCCAAAAAATAAGCTTTCTTGTACTTCGCCAATGTCTCACCAGTTTTAAGAGTGCCCCGCTTGGGCTATAATCATTGGAGTAGCTCGGATAACGATGGCTCCACAAGATTCCTCTCCTTCGTCAAGTCTTCCTCCTTTCATTTCCCCTACCACAGCTGCTACCAGATTCAGTGATGGCCGGAGGTACAACGCCGGTGGAGTCGTCTTCTCGGCCGGCTGGCAACCGGGCGAAGGAGGAGGAGGTGGTGTCCTGTGCTCCGCGTCCTCCTAGGGTTGGGGATTATCTCGGAAGGCATCGTCTTTCTGCCGCCATTGGCCGCCTTCATCAGGAGATCCAATCACTAGAAGTAAGAAAAACCTAGCCTTTCTTGTTTTTGTTCAGTTTTTTCTCTCATAGAGCTCCAGAGGGATTTTTGAAACTTTATCTTTTAATGTGATTTGATTATATAGAAAAAAACGAAGCCCTTTTTGTGTTGGATCTGTGATATGGTTGAATAATTTTAACATATTTTAGTTTTGGTGAGATCTTTGGGTTGGTTCTTCTCTGGAGTGGAAATTAAATGCTTCTGCTAAGTGTTATAATTCTCTTAGTTGAACGATTTTAGCTTGATTTATAGGTTCTTAGCAGATCATTCTTTCCTTTGATGATTCAAATGAAGTTTGATGCGTGGTAGAGAATTCGAAGTGGAGTAATGAGTTATTGTTTAAGTGTTGCAAGAGAATTCAACACACAGTCAGGTAATAAAATAGTCAAGTAGAAACAACAAAAGTTTTAACGTGAAAAATCCGGAAAAATTACGGGATATAATTCAGTTGAAATGATTCACTATGAGTTAGTGATTGCACGTAAAGTCATTGTCCCATATGTGGAAAAAATGTTACTCGGTTTATTGAGTTAAAAGGATTGTATATAAAAGACCTCGTTGCCCCCACGATATGGAGTGGTTGCAGCAGGGAGTAGTTGATGGAGCTTCAGTACACCGTCTTCGAGGTTGGCATGATGCTCGAGATGATGCACTGCTCCATAGGAAGCTTTGTGATTCCGCTTCGTCGGTTATTGCTTTGCATGGTACTTCATCGCTCATCAACACAAGCCTTGATTCCGCCCGGAGCTTTATTGCAATGAGTAGAGGGCGGTCAGTCAGCAGCAAACAACCTATGGTGGTCGACAATGGTTGGCGACTGCTGGAACGGATTGTATTTGTCGTGTCTTCTGTGAAGAAGCGATGTTGGAGTTTAGCGTCTCCTCCAATCTTCAGTCTTCTTTAGATTCAAGTTCTCCCTTCCTTCTCAAGTGGGGAGTGAGGATCAATTTATAGAGTATGGAAGAGACCTCTCTGCAAATAAATAAGTAATTCATACTAATTCATCAGACGACCCAGAGACATTTCCTTGTTTGAATGTCATTTGATAAACAATTGAGTGTCTTAATGATGTTAGAATTGAGTAATATTTGACTTTGGATTTGTCTCACCGGGTAGTTGTATTTGACTATAAGTTTGTCATATTTGAAATTCGTTTAACATTACAATTATACATTAAATGCTTCAAAAAGTGATTTAACGGCTTGATGTGGACTTAATTTAACTCAAACTGAACCAATTCTGCTATTATTGAGTCTTTTTCATCAAGTTGGTCAGTTTGACTTTAAGTTTAGAAATTAAAATTCTAGATGATTTTAAATTTAAGTTTGAACATTTTTTTACTCAAGAAGTTGTCTCAAGATTCCTGACATGCATTAAGATTTGTGTTGAATGATAAAAATCTATTAATGATTTATCAAAGTTAATAAAGATTGTTTAGCAAATCAAACTATTTTGCTTTCTATTTTTTTAGCAAATGTTGGGTTTCCGTTCCTAATACAATGTTCTAAAAGGTAAATAAAAGTATCAATATGTACACGAGATATGCCTTTTCTTTTTTACTTCTCTTTTTTTTATTTTTTCTTTTGGTGTATGTGATAGAAGCCATCATCATGATCATTAACTTGTGTCAAATTTTTTTCGTCGACCTTATGGATACTTCTTCATCTTTTTCTCCATTTACTTTTGTTGAGATGCCATGGAGTTTTAAGTTTACCATATGAAAATTTTTATTCCCAACTTCTAGACAAGTTAATTTGATCTATCTTTTTTTTCCCATGCTTTGACCTTATATATTTTCACTTTGGTGGCACATTTATAAATTTTAGATTTACTTCATGGTGTACGTAAATCTACTTTTGAATTGAGTTGTGTCATGGTTATAGTTTGTATCATACTTTTTGTATATGCTATTTTTTATTTTTTTTAATTATTTCTTTCCTTGATTTGTCCTTGTAAAAATTTACATGTGTTAATAGATTACCTGTCATTTAGAACTAGTTGAGTTTTTTCTAATTTGTCTCAGGTACTCTTAGACCTACCATTATAAGTAGGAGCCTTACTCATGTAAATATGTAATTTCATTATAGCTGCATGAAGATTTTGAAACTTCTTAGAAATTCCTTGAGGTTTCCTCCTTGCTCTTTGTGATTTAGAGGTAACTGAAACATCACAATGAATCGCTTAGGGTTTGTTTTAGGATGGATTTTTTTTTCATTTCTATTTTTCTTAAACATGTTTGTTCAATGTGTTTTTTACATATCTTCTATTTTTTGTTTCTAAAAATAAATTAACATGTTTTTCAAAACACTCCGAACTACTTTTAGATGTTTTGAGTGTTTTTAAAACAATCATACTTTAATTAAGTAGCCAAACATGTTTTGTTTTAAATCAAAACATAAATGAAACTAATTAAAAATAAAAATAGAAAATAAAAAACAAAAGTGATCCCAGATGGCACCTTAAAAAATCCCTAGTGGTCTGATCCAATACGAGTATTTTGATATCCCAAAGAAAGTATATTCTATACCTACTAAAAGAGATAAGAATGATAGGGTGGAAACCCCCTGAGATTCTTATTGATTTCAACAAGAAGTTACATTTAGGAGGAGAAAAGTCACCAATGGAAAAATGTAGATACCGAAGATTGGTGGGTAAGCTTATTTACTTATCACATACTATATATGATATCGCTAACTCTGTCGGTATTATGATTTGACATATGAATAGTCCGATTGAATAATATTTAGAGATAATTTATAAAATATTGAGATTTCTTAAAAAAACCATTTGCAAAGGGTTACTGTTTAAGAAATCAGACAACAGGGAGGTAGAGGTTTACACTGATGCTAGTTAGGTAGGAGAACTCACGAACATAAGGGTACTTGGTATTCTTCCTATGTTTGGGGAAGTCTGGTCGCTTGGAGGCGCAAGAAGCAAGCAGTGGTATCTAGAAGTTGTGTAGAACTTGAGTACTATACGCTTGGTTTGAGAATTTGTGAAGGAGTATGCATCCAAAGGTTACTAAGTGAGTTAGGAAATTCCACGGTCAATCCCATAAAGATGCTTTGTGATAGCCAGACCACCATTAGTACTGTAAAGAATCTTGTGTATCATGACAAGATCAAGCACATTGAGATTGATAGACATTTTATCTCTGAAAAGGTCAATTGAGATATTATTCACTTAATCAGCATTTCGGGTCATTTTCAATTCGCTAATGTTTTCACTAAATCTCTACCTCCAGCCAGCTTCACTGATTTGAATACCAAGCTGGGCCTTCACAACATCTATTACCCAACTTGAGGGGGAAGTGTGGAATTTTGAGTTTCCTATTTTAGTGTTATTCTCTTTTTGTTATGTCATATTTTTTTCCATCTTGAGTTTGTTCACCTTTGATTACTTATAATGTTTGTAACTAAGATTTTCCTAGTTGTTCCTTGTTATATAAGGAGAAGAGAAGAGTTGTAATTTGATTGTTGAGAAATAAAAGAGCATAATTTCTCCATCTTTCTGCAGTTTCTCAATGTTACAAGTATGTATATCTTATAAATCGTAGTATTGATCATGTAACTTGATTAAGATGGCATGATTGATGAAATTTAAAATTTTTTCCTTGCTACATGAAGATTTTGGCTCTTGGAGATTGCGTGATTTTTGTCAGTGCTCTAACTTGATTATGATTGTGTGATTCTTTGATTTTATTCATCATTCTCTGATGCCTTTCCCTGTGGCTTACTCCACTATTTTCTTCCATGTTCCACATCTATTAATCTATATGATGTTCTTTTCTCACTTATTGTCCCTTAAGGCGCACCTTGATTGAGTGATCATTGCTAATTTCATTTTCATGATAATCGCTGACCATCTACTATTTAAATTAATAAATAAATAAATAAGCATTTTATTTTAAATTGATAGAGTATCAAAGTATAGACGGTCATCTTTTATTTTTAATTTTATAGCAGTTTTGTAAATTTGGATGATTGATAAAGATGTATTCAACTCTATGCTCAATGCAATTTTGTCGTTTATGATTGCTTTCATCTTTGATAAAATTTAATTATGTAGTAATGAAACTATTTATACAAAGTAAGCTATTTTTTCTTATTTTAGTGATGAACTTGATAATGCTAAGTATATCAGTATAAATCTTTTGGAACAGTTTAATTAAAATTGGAAATAGAAAAGGTTATGGTAAGTGCTTCAAAATCTGATGTTGTTTGTTTTTTTTCTTTTTTAATTTTATTTCTAAGTATCATAGACCTCATTTGTGAATGTAGTGCTTTGATGTTTGATAGCTGTTATTATGATCCTCATAGAGATGATTCAGCTTGTCTACATCATTTTTGGGATAATTATAGTTGTCTTCTAGAAATTTTAGTATTGTTGTGGATTTATTTTTAAACCATGAGGAGTCTTATAATTTTTTTCTTTTGACAAAAAAATAAACATCAATTTTTTTTATAACTAACCACATTTATACTAGATTTGATTACAAAAGTTTATTTTTCATAGCGGAACTTTCTAGTAGAAAATAAAAAAAGTTATAGCAAGTAGAACGATGGTTGATATATGAAAAGAAAATTAGCTCCAAGCAGACTCTTAGGGGTCATTTGAGATCACTTTTAATTTTTACTTTTTATCTTATGTTTTTATTTTGTTTTGTTTATGTTTTGATTCAAATTTGAATCAGAACATGTTTGTTATGTTAAGAATAAAATATTTTTTTAAAAAACACTAAAACAAGTTTAGTTGTTTTGAGTATTGTTAAAAACTAGTTTATTTATTTTAAAAATAAAAAATAAAAAATAAAAATATATAAAAATACAATAAACAAGCATATTTTTATGATCTCAAAAAAACCCTTAATGAATTTTTTTCGGTGCCTTTATATTTTGGTTCTTCACCTCCACAAAGTAAACTCAGTGTTTTCTCCATTTATGCAGTCAGAGTTAGAAGAACTGGATAAGATGGAGCCATCTTCTGCTTGCGAGGAGTGAGTGTTTAAATAAGATTTCTCTTTTCACTGCATCCAATTAAACTCTGCATAAGGAATAAAATAAAATTTTGTATGGCTCTGACCAAAAAAGCTTCAATTTTTTTTTTGTTTTTTGGAAGTTTACATACATTCCACGCAATTCTTATGTATTGACATATCTAATACCTTAACTTTCATATTTACATTTATAGCACTATGATGTTACAAATCTATATGCATGAAAAGGTGTATTTTCACTGTTAAAAGATAAATAATACCGATATATTCTACGTGATATTAAATATTTATGTGCTATGCATGTAAATATAAACAATTAGGTGTTAGATATGCAAATGTATAAGAATTTTTGGGTATCTATGTAAATAATAGTGTTTTTTTCTTGCAAATTTATATACGTACCATGCAATTCTTATGTTTTTACATATCCAATATCTTAACTTTCATATTTACATTTATAGTGCTATGATGTTTTAATTTATGCATGAAAAGTTGTATTGCAGTTTTAAAAAATAATAATAATGTTATTTTAATTGTGATATTATATATTTGAGTGTTATACATGTAAATATAAAGGTTTAATTGTCTGATATGTAAATACACAAGAAACCCTCTTTTCTTAAACTGACTATGCTGTGGATTTTGCAGTCTTCTCTCTTCCATGGAAGCAATACCAGATGCTCTCCTTCCCATGTGAGTCAACAAATCCTTGCAAACCAGTAATGCTGGTCATTTTAACTTTTTTCATCAACTTTTAACATTGCTGCTGCTTATCTCAGCACCAAAGGACCTGAGAATTCTGCCTGGGAGAGATGGTTTCAGCCGGTCCGAAGCCCGCGGAACCGGAAATGGTGGAGCAACAGATACTCACATTTTGCTTGAGCGTTGGAACTCTGATTTGTTCAGGCTAAAATTACAGTGTCAGCTCTGTTCTACTTGTGCTTCATCTTATGTTTATAAAACTTCAGATTGTATTCTGTACTGTTTAAGTTTGATGGGATACCTTTTATAAAGACAGCAAATGTTGCATTGAAAATTGAATCTTTCTATCTTTGATTGTTATATGGTAGCAGATATGGTTTGTTGTGATAGTAATAGGCAGTCCATGTTGGATTTTGGTGGAGTTAGCTGGGCTATGTGATGCGGGCGAGTCTCCCGCACGGGACGCGGCAGCCTCACGCGTTGTTTGATAGTAATAGGCAGTCCATGTTGGATTGTTGTGGAGTTAGCTAGGCTATGTGATGCAGGCGAGTCTCCCGCACGGGACGCGGCAGCCTCACGCTACTTGGCCGGGTCAGGTATGTTTGACCGGTTCATCCTAAAGGAGGAGGGCGCCTCATGATCGGTCCTTGATTGGGAATTGCTGCCTAACTGTGAGGGCCCCACCCTTAGCTATCATAGTATTATTTATATTTTATTTTCTATGTTTTAGGTCAGTTTTTGATTCAGTTTTTTGTTAGGACAGTTGTCAACATCTAGGTTTCACCCTTCTAGGACTGTATCCGAAGACGAGAAAGTGCTCCAGTTGTAACTCATCATTTTTTCTCTTCTACTTCCAACCACCTTTCCTGCTGCTGCCCAACCACCCCCCGGCATGCTGAACAACCACCATCCACCATCGCCTTCCCTGATGTTGCCAGCCTTCCTCTTATTGCTTCCGACCACCCAACCATCCCACCAATCCCCCTCAAGCAGCAACACTGCCTCCTTTGGCCCATCCCCTAGTTTCAGTGTTTGTGTTAGGGTTTCTTTGCTATTTCCTATTTCAGAGTGTGTTTATTCTAATCCATATTTGCTTTTCGTATCCGGTATCATTATGGTAAGTTTTGTTGTAGGGAATTTTACATATATACCGCACAATTCTTATGTATTTACTTATCGAAGACCTAGAGTTTGATATTTATACTTGTAACAACTTCGTGTCATAAATATATGCATGGAAAAGTGTATTTCACTTTTAAAAATGTAGTAATGATTGTATATTTGACGTGTTGTTAAAAATTTAAGTGGTATGTATGTAAATATAAATGTTTAGGTGTTAGATATGTAAATACATAGAATTGTGTGGTATGTATGTAAATGCCCCCTATTTTTAATGTGATTTATAGAGAATCGACTGAGTTGAACCATGGAGCAATTCTGCTATTTAATACTTGGGATGTAAAAAATGGGAGTATATAGCTTATTATTTATGTACATAATGAATATACAGTTATGTATGTAAATGATATGGTATTTGTATGCACAAATACGTTCAAACAAGAATTTTTTGCTTATTTTCCTGAATGGAGCTCACCATTCTAAGAGACTCGATCGAGGCACCTGTCGAAGTGGTTGAATTGAGCCCGCATGCTAACATGGTTGTATCCGTTCCTTTGCAAGGTTGGTTTAGCCAACTTGTGTGGAAGCAACTATCGGAGAAAGTTATCATGACTAATAAGGACATGTCAACCCATCATTAAAAACACCAATTGATATTCACGTCTTGGTCTTTCCGTCCAGAAATTAGTGATGGGCGTCTTACTGACACCCACGTCACAGACTTTTCATCAAGACACTGGAGAAGGGTGTTGTATAGTACGAAATGTGTTATTTATTATATTATTACTTTTCTCCTTTGTATAAATGATAAGACGAGATCAACGGTTCTCTTCCTGACAACATCTTGATATATATATATCTCTCTCTCTCCCTCTCTCTCTCCCTCTCTCTCCCTCTCTCTCTCTCTCTCTCTCTCTCCATTTATATATGGAGAAGGGTTGTGTATACTCACGAACAATACGAGACCCTACATCTTGAAGGGATTGCACAACATGGAATTTTCACATAATAATTTCTTGTTGCCTTAATGGAATGTTTTAATGGAAACTAGCCGTTGTTATTTATTTTAATTTATATATGAATATTTAAAGGGGCATTGACATATATACCGCCCAATTATAATGTATTTACATATCTAGACACCCCAACTTTGCATTTTATATAAGATTTGGATTGTATAAATATAAAAAGCAAAGTTTAAGTGTTAGGTATTTAAATACATACGAATTGAGCGGTATGTGTGTAAATCCTTCATTTTATAAAAACTATCAGCATTATTAACTTTTCATCATCCAGTTTTTTGGGACATTTACATGAATAACCCACATTTCTTATGTATTTACATATCTCACGATAAATCATGATCTGACGGTGTTGTTTGACTGTGTTAGCGCATGCATCTCTGCATGTGTTGTTCGTATGGAATAATTTTTCGAGAAATTATTCCATACGGACATGCATGCGCTGTCTGATATCGGCCGTCGATCATAGGTTTTTTTTTTTGTTTTTTTAAATAGAGCCCACTGAAATACAGTTTTGATGTGATCGACGGTCGAGATTGGACAACACATGCATCTCTGCATGTGTTGTCCGTATGAAATAATTTTTCGTTATATCAGAGTTTTATTTGCAATGTCAGCACACATAAGTTATTGACATATTATTTTCTTAAGAAAGCATATTGTGTTATGATAATTAGGGTGGGAAGGAAAGAAACCTAACAAATAATATTAGGGAAATTTATATGCATACCTCACATTCTTATGTATTTACATATCTAACACCTAAAGTGCGATATCTTCACTTATAATATCTTGGTGACATAAACTTATGCATACAAAGGCATATTTTATTTTTATGAAAATGGTGATGATATTATTGTTGATGTGATATTAAATATTCAAGTAGTATGCATGTAAATATGAATGTTTAGGTGTCAGGTATGTAAATACATAAAAATTGTGTGGCATTTATGTAAATGGCCCTTAACATTAACCTTAGTGAATATTTTGAAACATAGCTAATAGTACAAATATTATCAGCATTGTAGGGGAGAAAACATTTAAAGTGATTTCTAACTATTTATGATGTTAAGGAGATGAGTGAAGATATTAATATTATCACCAATGTTATGGAAAAGTTTCTCATCAATATTAGGGTTGTCAAAAGAGGTCATTTTTCGCGAACAAATCATATTTGATTTATCAATGAGTTTGTGTTCGATTCGTTAGATAAGTAAACGAGACGAACGCGAACAATTTTTTTTTCATTCGATTAGTTAAACGAACCAAACACGAACGGTGAGGTGTTTATTTGTGTTCGAATCGTTATTGTTCGAAATATAAAATAATTTAAAATAATTATATATATGAAATTTATGATATTTTAAAAAATTAAATTTAATAAATTATAATATATAATAAAATAATAATAATAATATATTAATATACTAATATAGATATTATATATTTATATAATATAAGTTATATAATTAATATAATATATTATTTATATATATTAATATTAGGGATGTCAAGCTGACTCGTCGTTCGCGAACAGCTCGTGTTCGCCTCGTTCGTTAAAAACCGAACACGAACAGTTGACTTCACAAACAATTTCAAACACGAGCTTATTTCAAACAAACTAAATTTCAAACGAACCGAACACTAACACAAGCTCTGTTCGTTCGTGTTCGGTTCGTTTACACCCCTAATAGCCATAACAGTTTTTTGAACAATAAATTATTTTTCAGCAATGTCATAGCTGTTTTTTAATAAGATGCAGCTGCCCCAAACAGACTTATAATCTAATGATTATAACAATAACAAATGTGTATGAATTGGGTTGTACTTAGTCTCCAAATCAGTTGAATTATGTTAGGAGTTTAGCTCAGTCGACTAGAGAGGAAGGTTGTGATTTACATACAAACAACATTACCTAGGCATGAAAATGAGTACTTTACTTTTTGAAATTTAAAATGGTGGTATTCTTTTATGTGATATGAATAATATGGGTGGTATATAAATAAAATGAAAATTTTAGTGTTAAATATGAAAATTTATTTCCACTTTTGAGTAAACTTTCTAATTAATGAAGCCAAATGATAAGTTCATCATTACCATTTCCAATGAAGTGTAAATAGTGTCATCAATCAATTATGATATGATGACAATTATCCTTCAAAGTTCAATATTTATTAAATTGGAACCAAAGTTCTTAAGGGAGATGGATGGGACCAAAATCTAGATTGCTTGGAGGAATTTCTCTTATTTTCCCAAGAAAATCATCCATCTTAAATGTTTAGATTCATAAGATTATAGTCATCAATTAACTTGAAAAAATTGAGAGATAGTGGTAAATGAAGAGAAATGTACTACATTATAAGAGAAAATAGTGTCATTAAAGTTATATTAGGAACATGAGAGGTATTACAAAGTTTACTCATATTTTGGATTTCATTCTTGGTCTAATTATTTTGGACATAAAAATAATAAGGCTAAAACATATAGATTTTTAGAAAATTTGCCAATGTTATTATGTTTGATGAATATGTAGATAGTATTAGCCGAGCAATATTTGAACACATTAAGTCTTTGATGTTATAAAATCCATTTTGTGAAACAAAAGAGGATGAGGGAGATACATTTTGCCTTCTTGAAAAAAAAAAGTAGGTTCAATTTTTTTTAAGTAAAAAGGTTCAAATTAAGTATGGACACTTAATTTTTAATTGCAAGCATAAATAGTCCATAAAATAAAATTTTATAATTCACTACAAAAATAATATATAGCAACAAACAACTACAAAGTAGTCTATGATGGGGAATACATCAATTGTACTGATTCTCGTCTACTATAAGGTAAAAAGTACATGACTACAATACTATTTGCCAACACCAATAATTTATTATTACTAAGCACTATATTATTACAATCTTTACATTTAACATTACTCATAAAAGCTTGATTATCAAAAGAAAGACACTTGCTTTTAGTAATAATAAATTTTAAAAATGTTAAATGAAATGAACTTAATTCTTATTAAAGATTGTATTGTCATTTAACCATTGATTTGAGGCTACAAATTAGTGAGTTATTATCTTCCTAACACAAGCCCCTCACATTAGGTTCATCCACGACTTAATTTTTTTTCCAACCCATAAAAATTTGATTAATTATAATTTTATTATTGATCCCTACCCTTTAATCCTTTGTGTCTCAATCACTTAAGAGAGTTAATAAGCATAATCATTACCCATTTACCCTCTAATTT